TCATGTTCTTTTGTCCATTCCCTTCTGCTGCAACAATTTCCCAGGGCACATGTATTCATTTGCTCACTCCACACGACTTACCAACTGCACTTGCACAAAACCTAAGGTTTCCTTTCTTCTTGTTCTCATGCATGGAGGCATTGGAGTTAGGGGGAAAATACTTACACTCTTTGGGGAAGTAAAGTTTGGAGAAGGTTTGAAGCAATTTAAAAATTGTAAGTTTAAAAAAATGCCAACTCTGAAAGGTTACTTGTAATTTCATGAATAATCTAGATATGTTGTCTTTTTTCTGGGAAGGGGGCCAAAAGTCCAGGCAAATGATTGAATTCGGTAGTTAAATGTTCAGATGAAAAATATACTTTACACATCTCAGTATAAAAAACTAAGCACTTTTTTAGACAACAGCAAAATATTTCTCATAGCTTTGGGNCAACTGGACACACAAGGTCATCAGTTCCATTTTACTTTCAAGTTTTAGGGACTGCTTTTTTAAATGCAATTGTTTTATAATGACACAAAATATTTACAGGATTCCAAAATCAAATCAACAAAAAAGTATGTTCAGAGAAGTCCTGCTCCAAGTTCTGCCTCTCCCACCCCATTCCGTCCATCTTCCTATCCATAAACACTTTTCATTTTATCATTTAACCTCCTGCTATTCTGTTTATCTATCTATATTGGTATTTAGGAGGATTTGTGGTTTTGCTCTAATGATTACCATGTACACCTTTATAGAACAGTCTTCCTCTCTTCCCTTTTTGGCTGTTGTGTATTGGTTCTCCACTCTGATCAATAATGAAATTAACTAGCAAACTCCTCCCCCCTCTCCCCTCTCTCCCTCTACATCTCACACGACTCTCGTTTTACTTCCAGTTAATAATTATACAGCAATCAGCAAACAGATTCCTTTCACATATTGTCCCCATTGCCTGGATTTTTGGTAGATGTACCTACAAGGTCAGAGCGCAGAGACATTACATACTTAGAACCATCACTTAGTCTTAGTCTGCAGGTAAACATGTGTTCAGTGCTCACTCCTGGTCCTTATGTTGACCTCCGCAGTCTTTTTGGCTGCCTGAAATTCCTTCCCTATATTCCCTGAGGACTTGCATGATCAAACAAGTTTCTCTGTGGCTTTTATACCTCGCAGTTCCTTTGCCAGCCAGTACCATGCCGCACTTGACAACAGTCTGGCTCGGAGGGATACCAGGCCAGAGGGTAGCACACACCTCCTGGGAGCCCAGCACACCTCTGAGAGGCTCCAGCGGCATCAGCCACACTCTCCCCTCCAGAGGCACTTGGGAACAGTCTAGGAACAGCAGGTCACCCCCACATTACAGCTGCAGGGTGCTGCTGTGGCCAGGCCTCTGTGGAGGTGGGAATCTCAGCCTTGGGGAGGGGAGGCTCCCCTCAGTCCTCAGTTTCCTCTCTGTCCCCCAATGAGGGAGCAGCTGTTATTTTGTACATCCTTTATCTCTTCTCATAGTTAAGCACCTTTTACTAGTGAATTCGCTATATTAAGTGTTCTCTCTCCTGTCTCCTAATGAA